AGAGAGAGAGAGAGAGAGAGAGAGAGAGAGAGAGAGAGAGAGAGAGAGAGAGAGAGAGAGAGAGAGAGAACAGGGTATGTAAGGGACTCATCGAGGAAATGGTGGCGAGAGAAGAAGATAGATTGAAGGTAGTGCTGCCCATGTTAAGGGGGAGAAGATAGCGGGGTGGTGGGTGATCCATTCTGGGACAGTTTTCCGGGGAATGTCTGAAGTGAAAGGGAGTCCAGCCGTTACCTCTGGAGTACAGATTCTCTGCAGCGGATTTCATTGGGGTCTACGCTGGGTAACCAGACGAGTCTCTGTCGGAGTTAAGGTCTCGCGCTTCGATGATTCAATTCTGGCCAATATTTGAAGGGGAACCCGTAGCACGTCGATGTCTTCTTCTTGCGAAGACTTCGATTGCGCCTCGGTAGCATTACGGTAGTTCTTTCTTTTTTTTGTTAGTATTTAATTTTTAACTGAGGTTATCGCACCGATGTCTTTTACCGATACTCCCGTTGGCCATTCGTAGCATGACAAGCGTCTCGATGGCTGAGGTCACATGCTGACGACTAAGGGAAACATGGAAGAATTAAAATTACAGAGGTGTGAATCCTGTGAAGCCTGAATTACCGGGATGGAGGTGGAGGAGGTGGAGGAGGAGGAGGAGGAGGAGGAGGAGGAGGAGGAGGATATGTATGAAGGAGATAAACATCCTAAGTAGGCAATGAAGGAGGGGGAGACATACAGTTAAGGAGAACAGGGCAGCTGGAGCGATAACGAGGGTTGTCGAGGAAATACATGGCAGCTGAAGCGTGGCGCTTGACCACCAGCGGCGGTCCGGTTGGCGGACATTTGCAGGTGGTGGAGGCGGTGGCGTCGATCTCTCAGCTTTAGCGCCCTCGTCCGGTAGGCTTCGGGGAGAGCGGATGCAGCATTGTTGTGGTGTGGTCTTCGTGTCCGTACAAGGGCATCACGAGAGAAGACATGACAGATTGAACCACGTGTGCGGCGCGTGAGCGGTTTGGTAGCCTCGTCAGTTCCTTATTCTACTAGCTGTAGGGGTGACAGTGTTGTCGATGTCACGTGCATCGCATTTGCTGCACATCCATGACATCTGTGTTTATCACGTTTTTCAAACTGACTTCTTGATATCCGTTTAGTGAATCGGAGAGTCCGATGATCTGTGTGTACAGAGTGGCTCGGTCGGATAGCCATGAAAGAAATGGGCGGTGAGCAAGCAGTTCTCTCCTGCCGTCGGGGAAGATTGGGATGGAGAAATGGATGGTCAGCAAGCAATCTTCTCCAAATCGAACGGTCCTTGTTAATGAAAGATATTTCTTCGTCGGTTCTCGAGCTGTGCGTCGTTTGCTCCGACTTGAGCTGCGCATCATCGATGGTCCAAATTGTGCTGTGGACTGATGGTCCAAATAGAGCTGTCCTTGTGGCCGCTGACTCAGCGATAAAACATGAGGCAGTTTAGGTTCGAGATTTCTTTATCAGCCCGGTGAGCAGTGAAGCTGTGCACTGAGACATGAGCGGCTGCCAGCTCAGCAGTTAGCTAAGCCTTGCACATACAGCGGGATTGTTACCCCGGGGCAAGGTCCCACTTGCACGGATTACGAGATTCTGACCGTTGATCTGTGCTATCTACGGTCAATATCTCTTAATTCGTGTAATTGGGACCTAGCCCCCGAAGAGTGTTGGAGTAAATGAGCCAAGCGCACATACATTAATTAACTGTTCAAATTAAGACCCGAGTTCAAAGCCCTTAGATGAATGGAATCTGTGAATTTCCCTTCCCTCCCCCACCCCCACCCCCCTAAAAGGAATGCAGTATCAGGGCCCGGCGCCCGAGGCAAAATGGAATTTGTGAATTTCCGGTGGGGCCGACAGGTTTGACGATGATAACTCAAGGCTGTCGCCCTTTCAGAAAATAAAAAATAAATAAGCAAATGAAATATCGGCTCGATGGGCTTAGTTCCGCCCTCCTAATTACTTAGTAATTGCCAGCGTTGTAGCTCACCCGAACAAAAAAAAAAAAACAGTGATCGCTGACAGCATGACTTTCTTTTGGTTGCCTTTTTTTTATCTGAAAGGGGTCGCCACGTTATTGTATTGGTCCGATTTCATTCGGACTCGAGCCGGCGATCTGGCTACAAACAGTTAGTAAATGTGTGTACCGTTCAGTACTGCATGCCTCAGGGGCGGTAGTAGCACAGAGGAGTGGATTTAACGCCCGAATCTGCTCGTGTTTATGGCGAGGTGGAGAGCGACTCGATTGAACTGCACTTCTGCATCTCTGCTTAAAACCCGTCCAGATTCAGGTGCTTAATAATCCAATCCCCTTTGCTAGTGGGACTCCGCTCCAAGACCTCACCACATGGTAACGGGCCTAACGGAGGCAGTGTTTTTTTTGGTGGGGGGGGGGGGGGGGAAGGGGGGATACTTAAACGGAGATAACGGAGCGAACGTCTGTGGATTTGTTTCAAAGGAAAGTGACTAAGATAGCTAATGATGATTGATGTACATCAGCAGATAAGGAAAATACCTACGAGGACCAGCCGTGAGATGTGGATGGACCTGGCACCATTTCCAGAGGGCAGAGCCGTGACGGTCATCTCATACTGGTCACCTTTTGTTCTTGCCCGCCCTTGAGATATCATCTTTCTTCCGTTCGTCTGGGCCCATCAGAATTTGGGCCCATCAGAATTCGAACTTGGGATTCGAACTCGAGTCTCTTTTTGAACGTTTGTACAGCTGCTTGGCACTGCGTCTGTGGGGCTTTTGCCGTGTGCTCGGCCCTGGGTTTTTGCTACACTGATGGGTTTCTCTCTGTGAATTATGGATCAGGCTTACCTTACTCCCTCTCGCACGCCTCCTTTAGATGATTCTCCTCCTAGTTGCTTCTGTCCTATCTCCGCCACACCTTCTTTCTGCACCATCCAGGTGCTTGTGAACCGTTATAGGGTTATCAGGCATCAAAAAGAACTTCCATGGCCGTTCTTTTGCACCTTCTTCTCCCCTCCTTCCTTCCCCTTCTCTGCAAGCTGGCCTTGTTCCTGGAATCTCTCTCTCTCTCTCTCTCTCTCTCTCTCTCTCTCTCTCTCTCTCTCTCTCTCTCTCTCTCTCTCTCTCTCTCTCTCTCGTAGACCCGTAGACGAACCTTTCCTCGTCTCAGGTGTATCAGTAGGACAGAATGCCTTCACATCAACTTGTGCTTACGTGGAACCCGTCCCTCAGCCTTTGTTGTCACCAAAACACTCAGTGAACTGGACCATCCCACGTTACACAGTAATGCTGGATAATCACATCTATTTAACAAAAACGACGGTGTTATGCAAAGGTCACAAGAAGAAAAGATGCTGTGCACATGGTGGCACGAAAGCTAAGACATGAGAAGGTTAAGCTGAGAACACAATCATAAAGATTATAAGATTGTTTATGCCTTGAAAGGTTTTCTTTGGACGAGAGAGCCGAAACGACAAGCATACTGTTTGTGCCGATGTATCGACTTGATGGAATTCACTCCTGGACACAGTCTCTTGTATATAGTGGTGCAGCAGCCGGTGGTGGGTTCTTTGCGCCTGGCTTTTGCTCCTGATGTGTGTGTGTGTGTGTGTGTGTGTGTGTGTGTGTGTGTGTGTGTTTTCGGCTTCTGAAAGCGCGTTGTTATTTTTTCAAAAGAGGTTTGTTGTCCTGAATTCGTTTTGTGATACGTAATGCAGGGAGCTGTTTTGATGTTCAGCCGAGTGTCATCACCGATCTGTGGCTGCGTGGAGAAGGCTGGAAGACAGCGGAGGTTGCAGTACCGTTCTGGAGCGGAAAGGAGGCTGCCTCGAGAAGGTGTTCCCGGTTCGGAGGAGGGTGGTGCAGAAGAGGAGATACGGCCGGCGGCGGGTTCGACTTCGTCGACGGACTGCCTCGAGCGCTGCGTCGTCTGTGATCGGACGAGGGCGAGGACGTTGCGGGCAGGGGTCAAGTGATGCCATCTGGATGTTTCGAGGGCTGATTAAGTTACACAGGGTCTTACCTAATTTAGGAGCACGTTTGCTGCGCAACTGGGGGAAGATAACGAGGAAGTTCTCGTTGAAGAAGCCGGGGGGGGGTGTCATGGGGTCAGGGAGGTTGAGGAAAAGACCCGTCGGGTCGCGGGATGCCGGCGCAAACGGAGGCAGCAGCAACCGACCAGCTGTGACTGGTCCTGCTTCTGGGGCATCCACGTCAAATTATCGGCCTCCCAATCAAGGTGGTGATCCCTCCCCCGCTGGGTTCTCTCAGCTGCGTGCCCTGGGGGCTGCAGTAATGGCAAGGACGATGCCCAATGGTCGTTCTGGTGGATCGTCTCAAGATCCAAGCACTCGGCAAGCGGAGCCGGGGAAGAATGGCAGCAGCAAATTGAAGGGCAAACGAAGATCGGGTTCCCATGTGCCTAATAGCAACGGAGGCTCGAATGGTGCTGCTGAGGTGGGTTCAGGCACCGGTTCGGCAAATGGTTCGGCTGAGGGTAGGGAGGACACCAACGGCAGGCCGCCTAGAAGGGATCAGGATGGCAAATCTGGACGGTCCACACGACGTGGCAAAGGGAGCTCGAGTGGTAGGTGGTCTACAATGGTCTCGGGAACAGGCCGTACGAGTAGCGGTACAGATCAGTCTCATGTTCAAGGTCAGGGTCAGGACAGTAAGGGTGGTCAGACACCGGGGCAAGCAGCATTAGCTCCCAGTTGCCGTGTATGCTCAGGGCAACTGCAGGACGCTTCTCCAGATGGAGGTGGAGAGCCCGACCACATCAGGCTTTACAAGCGAGCGAAAACTCATTTCAACAGTGGGCAGTTATGGGATGCCATTGCAGATGCGAAGAAGAGTTTCCAGTCTGTCAAGACTGTCAAAGCGCTCTTGCTGCATGGACGGTGAGTCTTCTTTATCTTGTTCTTTCCTGCTCACCAAATCGTCATCATCATCATCATCATCATCATCATCATCATCATCATCATCGGTTTGTCCTCCTCCTCCTCCTCCTCTTCCTCCTGGCTGTCTTCCTCGTCTTTCTCTATTTCTGGTTCGGGGTAACTGCGCGGCGGTCACAAAAACAGTTTGAAATTGCACATCAGGCACTCTTCCGAACATAACACCCGCCGTCTTGACCGTACCGGACTGGAAAGCTAGCTTGTATACATTCAAGATTTTCATGCTGAATGCCTGAAGTGCAATTTCATTTTTTTTTTTCTGGCCGACACGGAGTTTCCCCTTCTGGTTCTCTTTTGCTGAAACCATCATGAATATCTTTACTGACGCTTCTTTCGGGGTAATATTGTGATCTCCGTGAGGGTCAATGCTAGATGTCTGGGGGGTGGCCTGTACGAGACCCAGAGAACGCTCTGTGAGACTCGGGAGTTCTTCTGAGCTAACCTATGACCACGTCACACAGTTCCCATTGTCTGAATCATAATCACACATGCAATATATGTCTTGTTTCAAGCAGGCTCTTTTTTCCAAGAGAATATATGGTATCATGTTTTTTTTTTTTTAAATCTATAAATAAATGGTTTTATGCAGACTCTGCTTTTCAGAAATAAATGGTGTCAAGCAGACTCTGCTTTTCAGGAACAAAACAGAACAAGAAAAAAGTAGATTGTACTGTGCCTGATTGAACATCTATATGGTGAAGCGTTCCACATGTACAGCCGGCTTTCTGTTCAGGGTGGATGTTCTGCCGACAACTTGTTTTTTCAACATTGATTCGGGGATTCACTGATCTGTCCAGACGCCAACGCTGTACTGTACTACTCTTCCGGGAATAGTACGAACACAGGGCAAAGCCTGCCCTGCCGTCGTGACAGGAGTTACGAAACTTCTGCTGGACCAGACACATCATGGCGCTTTTGTGTTTCATCGTTTAACCTTAACTTTGTTCCAGCTGGAGCAAACGAATGAAGAAAGGATTAAGAACATTGGGAACGGAAAACAGGGGTGAGGGGCATTCTGGCGGCGCTGATGAAGGTGGTAAAGCCAGACTAGCACGGCCACTGGACACCGATGCAGAGGTTCATGCCTTCAACGGTAAGTGTTTCTAGTATTTTTACACCCTCAAATGTGACAGTCCCACCGACCGGTTGTTGAAGTAACGTTCGTCTAAAACTGGAGCCCTACGTACAGCTCCCAATTTTAATGGGACCTAACATCGCTCTGAACTTTAACAAAGTGCTTCCATGTGTGAACAATGGGCCGAAGGTGATGTTGCAGGTAGCTAACGTCCTTCTGGTGTGCGCCACTCCTTGCGGCCTCTGGCTCACCTATCTTTGTCATAATTTCCGTTTGGAGATAGCGAGGTCTATCTTCCCCTGTCCCCCTCGCGGCCCCGAGCTTCACCCATCTTTCTACCTCCCTGGCCTTGCTGTCTTTAAAGAGGGTAGCGTAGCCCCTAATTAATTATTGTATCAATCTAATTTCATCAGAATGGATATGAAATCATCATCTGTTTGCTAACAGTTACATGTGTGTATCATTTAGCCCCATGTGCTGGTTCAACAGCTCTTCCTTATGTGCTGCCTTAATGCCAGCTGTGAAGGCTTGTGGCCTGGTGCTATCGAGCTGTGATTTGCATTCAGAAGTATATGAGAATCACATAGCTGTGAATGAGAAGGTTGTGCGAGTAGGATGAACTGAAGAGGTATCGAGAGTATTTGTAACCTTTGGCGGACTGAACTCCGTCCATTCTCTCTCTCCATTCTAGGCAACATTATCGAGAGCTTTTGTAACCTTTTGGCAGACTGAACTCCGTCCATTCTTTCTCTCCATTCTAGGCAGCATTAGGCAGCTTTTTCTTGTGATTTGCTATGGATGGTTGGCCACCTACTAACTGTTTTTTTT